CTTTACTATACTCTTTTTTTCTTTTCTATTTTTTCTTCTTTTCTGCATTGTCTATTTTTTGTTTTTATTCTTTTATTTTTTAATATTTTTTTATCTTTTTAATTGTATGTATATCTTGTATATATCACATTAGTTGAACTCAAGATTGAAATAATTGGGATACAAACTTAACTATGTGGTGAAACACATCTACCAAGCAGGGAGAAGCCATCACATTCTCAGATCCTAAACTCTGCTGGACTTACGCAAAAAGGACACCTCGTCTCCCTTCCCCATGGCATAGTTTTTTCCTTTCTTATTTTCTAGCTCTTGTAAAGATAGGGCACTTCTGTTCTTATTCTTGGGGCAGAGCATGTTGGGTAAATGGGAAGATAGTAGATTTGGTCAATCCAGTCTTCTCCAGACTACTCCTTATTTGCATTCTCTTTTTAAGCATGGCCACAAAATATTTTGGGGAGAGCAAAGTAAAGGCTTTAAAAGACAACCTTTCTATCTTTGGAAAAGATGTGCAAAATCCTACAACTCCTGAGGTACTCTCATAGGGATCACAGAATTATGCCCTTATATTGGAACCATCCTACTCAGTGTCTATATTCTTATTTGTAACATTAGAGGAAGATACTGGATACTGAAACTATAGAAAGAAGAGCTTATATATAAACTAAAAACCGGCAACCTGCTGCCATTCACCTGTGTTAAGCTTCAGTTACCAGCCTAATCGTAACTCATCTAGCTAACAATGAGATTGTCGAACTCACTGAAAATATGGGGAACCACAAGATAGTCACCCATCCTGGGAATGAACACTGGATGTAGGAAATTGATTTTTTTTTCCTGGCTAAATGATAGTTTAATCAATATTTTCCAAATTAGTCCTGGAAATTCACCAAGATTTAGGTCCCTAAGAATTTCATTAAAATAGGAACTTTCAAATATGTCTAATTAACAGCAGTTCACCAGCAATTTCTTGTTCTAACCACAATACTATATTGCTATAGAGGTGCAGGAATACCAACAGTCCCTCAATGATAGCATCCTATGGATCTATTGTTCTACTGGAACCATAATGTCCAGTGCAAGCATGCGTGTTACTCCGAATTCATTGCTAGTATTTTATGGTGGTGGAATGGGTTCAACTAGATGGACAGTCGGACTACAACCTCCTTTACTAAGTTGATATGGTCACTGAGAATATGTTTGCTTTTCTGTTTCTTCCTATTCTCTTCAACTCATTCTTTAATTACATGTTGTTCTACCTCCCTCCTTTAGACTGCTCAGTAAGAGAAATTTCATGTGATAAATTGTGTGACAAGCACTGCTGCTTAGAATATAGCATAGTATAGAATGCATACAGAAATCTAACATCCATTCTATAATCCCATCAAGTACAAATGTTCAGCATAAAGTCTTTGGACTGGAAACCAGTTTAATGACAATAAAAATGTTTCCAATGAATGCAATTGTCTCACTCTTTCCCCTACATTCTCTGTCATATGCATTGTCTGCTGTATCTGGCAAAGTTTCCAAAAAATGTAGAATCCTATTTTCATCAAGATAGGATTGTTTGCTCATTCAGTTTGTGGAACTGCAGCTTTGTCTGATTGTCAGTTGGGCTACAAAATTTCAGGCAAATAAAGAGCAGCTTGTAATGCCAGCCATAAGAAAAAAGAAAATGTAGAAAACAGTGCCCAAGGCTCCCCATGACTCTTCATGGTTCACATACGAAGCACAGGTACTTCCATGACAGCCAACAATACCAAAGGTATCTTTCATCTATGGGCCTGATCCATGCAGATGATTAGTTGCAGGCCTGCCTATCTGCTAGCAAGCAATCTTCTCCTCTAAAGCACAGATTCAGGAGAGTCTCCTGTACTTCTTTTGGTCTTGATATTCATTTATTTTCTGCTGAAAATATCCTGCAGCGGAAACAAAAAGTGCATTAGTTATTATGTCTGGTACATGTAAACATCCCTTATGATGATCTCCACAGCATGACTTTGAGAAAATGTTCCATAGGTCAATATTTTCATTTGATAACAAATTGTGACTTCTATAACAACTAGGAAGGAATGTCTGATGCAGATTGCCTGGCCATGTGAGCATCCCTGCAGTAAGAATAATAATAGACTATAATATAATATAGACTATTGCAATGTGCTCTACATGGGGCTACCCTTGAAGAGTATCCGAAAATTACAGCTGGTGCAAAATGCAGCTGCACAGACAATTTTGGATAACCCAAGGATGGCACATGTAACATCTTTACTGCAGGAGCTGCACTGGGTGCCAGTTTGCTTCCAGGTCAATTCAAGGTGTTGGTTATCACCTTTAAAGCCCTACATGGCATGGGACCAGGTCACCCGAGGGACTGTCTCATCCCCATTATGTTGACCCATCCCACCCGTTCAAGCAGAAGAGGTATGTTGTGGACCCTGACTATGAAAGTATGTTGATTGGCAGGGCCCAGGAGGAGAGCCTCCTCTGTCATTACCCCTGCCCTATGGAACACTCTTCCCCCAGAGATGAGGTGGGCCCCTACTCTCCCAACCTTCCAGAAAGGGCTGAAGACCTGGCTTTGCCAACTTGCATGGGGTGAGAGGGGATATAACCAACCCTAGGTGCGGCTAGCACCTTGAAGACACTCCCCAAATCTAATAACTCCTTGGAAGATATTTATTATTTATATAGGAAGTCTTTTTGTATGTATTTTAATTCATATTTATTCTACTTTAATATTTATTCTTTTTACTGTAAACTGCCCAGAGTCGCTCTGCAGTGAGATGGGTGGCGACAAACTAGATAGATAGATAGATAGATAGATAGATAGATAGATAGATAGATAGATAGATAGATGCATTTTAGAAAGCTCCTTCCCCAACACTTGGCATAATTAGTTTTGCTCACACAATCAGATCCTTGCCATTTGCTACTGTTCCCATACTCCTGAAGAGCTAAAAGCAGCAGCTAAAACAATGCCAGGCTAGCAGATGGTGGAGGATTATATCCTCAGCAAGAAGATGATTCTCTAAGGATCTTATCACCTTTAGAAGGTGGGTTAGGCATCACTGCTATCCTCAATCCATTCTGTGGGAAGTTTCCACCAGGCAAGTAATCATCTGTACTTTTGGGTGGAACGTTATGCCAAGGCAAAAAGGTACATGGCCACTATGGCCTAGGAATTTACCTTCTATGCACTTCCTGCTTTTTTCTGCTTCTTGAATAAATAATGAGAACATTTGAGTCTTCACAAATTTTTTCACAAATCTGCGGTTGGTCTTGGAAGTGAGAGCCTTGCAAAATGATTGTTCCTGGAAGTTGCCCTTGCCGTTTCTGCTCCATTTGATATGGGCTGGATAGTGACCGATCATCTTCACAAAGAACTGTATAAAGGTGTCCGAGACATGTGCATTGAATTCCTCAGATGCTTGAAAAAGAAGGGGAGAGAGTATATAACCTTCATATCCAACAGAAATATTTTTCCCTATCTTAATACTTGGACTGCTGCTTCAGAAAATTCTAGAAGCCACATTAACTGGGGCAGCGACAGAGCTGTCACATGGAAGCTGATTGAGAATCCCTTCACACAGGTGCCATCAAATAAATTGGGTACAAGGCCCAGAATGAAGATTTGGGTTGCTTCCAGAATCATGAAGCTGGTCCCCCTTTCCTTTTCAATCAGTTTTCTGGGGGAAATAAAAAGATGGAAGAAGCAGTGAAAGTTAGGGGACTCCGACATGAAAGGCAATGTCATCTGGACCTCACCCCACTTTATTTCATAAATTCCACTTTTAAGGACTGACAACATGATAAAAGCCTCATCTAGAATTATTTCTGTGATCTACTGTATGCACCAGAGGTAGCAATGCGGGTATAAGAATCTCCATATCCGCCAATGGTTTACTGTGTAGCAAAAGCTATCAGCTACATGGAGTAAATTTCTGTGGCTATTACTGCAGAATTATTAAATATTAAATTCTCAGTAGCATGCTTTTTGCTTTTCCAGAGACTTCTGATAATAGTATCCAATAAGATTATGGAGAATTCATGTCAACAAAGAAATGCAGTCCTACAGCAACTTTAATTGGCGTATTATATCCATTCATTAACAGCAACGATCACAATGCAGTTTATATATAGTAGGGACAGAGAGAGAGATAGACACTCATATACACAGCATTCCTCTTCAGGTCTAATTCTTCTTTGAGACATAAAATCCCCTTTTGGGAGATAAAAGAGCTAAGAAAATACTAATATAAATAAGCACATGGCTGCAAAAGGAAGATTTTGCATGTTTTGCTAGTTTGCTCTATAATCTGCAGTAGAAAAAATATTTAGCTTTAAAATTTTAAAGCCTTCCAATTTTATCAACTCCAGGGTATGAAATTCTACAAATGCTTCCTCACTCTTCCTGCCATGATGTTTCAAGGAGCTATCATTGCAATACATTTTTCCTAAAAGCATCATGTTATTGGTTCTATAACCAAGGCTTAATTTCAAGCTACAAATCAAACCCTCATCATGTTGCTATTGTAGCTAATAATTATCACACATAAAAAGCTATCTCCATGACTTAGTCTCTATGAATTGTACACTTTATTTAGGCCATGAACTGGAGAAATCTTTCTCATTCTCCCTTGTCTTAATATCACTGAGTAAAGGACAAATATGCAGCAGGATGAGTTCTATTCCATACTACAAGGCTACAAGTAATTTATACTGGATGGATTAGACCCAAAAGGGATATGTTATCAGAAGTAAAGCTGAGTGATTAAAAAATGAATTTAAAAAATGAATGTCAGAAATACATTCTATTTCATGTTTGGGTTTTTCTTCATTGAATATATCATTTATTGTGTTGCACAATTGTTCCTGTGCCTAAAGTAAAATAGGGGACTGGCATGACCATTTATATTTTACACCAACTCTCTTATTTAATGTCAACTTCTTGACAGCTGGCTACAACTGAAAACAAGATTTTCCTAGAGTTTCCTTCAACGAGATTTATTGGAAAGGAATGGAACACGGTTACAGAAATCTGAGCAACTATATTGTTTTCATGTTAGAACTCAATTTTTTTTCTCAGCTTGTTAAGTTGGAGGCTTTTTCAGTTTTTTTACTATGAATAAGCAGGGATAGTGATTGTCTCCCTGATAGCTGAGGAACGTGTAGGTAGGTCAGGATGTGAATCACTACAAGTTTGGCTTAGATAGTGTGCCAGGCAGAATCATCCAGGTTAACTTGTTAGACTGGATTCTTCAATGCCATGATTCCAATCAAGTAGGCATGTAATTTGGCTTTTCTGCTCAACTGCAGTTTCAGGCCGTATCTGGTCAATCAGCTCTCTGCATCATTATTTTTGCTTGATACAAAGAATTTTATGTGGTTTACGTGCAAATAATTCCACCCCCACCCCCCAAAGTAGGCATAATGCAATAGAGGAAGAGCTCAGTTGGTACGTATCAAATAGCTTTCCTTATTCTTAGCAGGCAGTCTCCAAAAAATGAAATAAAACCACATACAGCAAGCTGCACATACACTGCTCCACCCTTCTTTTTAATCATGACCTATTTACTTCAAAAGACATCCTTAACGTAACGGAAACATACCATATATTTCCACTTTCATTATATCCCATAAAGCAAGGTTAATATTACATTATTCTACATGAATAGCTATATATTTACATAAATTATTAAAATAGGTTCAAAGTATACTTTAATATACTTTAAACATTTTTAAACTATCTTGATTCTGGACAATGAACAGGAATTTGAATTTGGCATCCACTTCTCCTATGTTTAGCCTTTGTTGCTTCCAATTCTGAGTTTGGTGTTCTGGAACTTGTCCCAAACCTTCACCTCTTTCAGCTTCTGGCAATTGTGAACTAGAGCCAACTGCTGAAGACACTGCTGTTGGAAGCCATATGGTTGACTGTCTGCTGCAGCTAGGTTTCAAACCCTATTTGCCAATTCAAGCCTTCCCTGTCTTGAATGTGAGACTATTCAGTTGTCCCTCAGAGGTATTCTGTCAATACCTATTTCCTTTTGAATTCTCAATATAATATGATTGCTGCTCTGGTCATAGTTTTATTTTTGTCAGGTGACAACTTTTTGCTGTTTCCACAAACACACGGTCTCATGGTTTAAAGTCTATTGAAGTAATTTTGCTTTGGACCTTAATATTGTCTCTACTTTCGCTGTAAGCAGAACAGGCCCTGAGGAATCTTAGGCTGAAGAGCTATATGAACAAACAAAAGGGTTGTCCTCAATATATGGCCCATCAATAACTGCTCCAATGAGTACTCCAGGCCAATCAATACTCTATTCCAAAGTTCCAATAAAACTAAATAAACTTTTCTTACCTGTTCCTTACAGTTTTGTAAAGTACCATTTAATTATTTAGCTGCTGTTCAGTTGTTCACTGTTAATTGTTCACTCCTCCATTCCATTTGGTTGAGGATTTCTTGGACTGGACTGTATTAATATTATTCCAAGACCTTGCAAGTTATGCTATCACTCTACTGACAAATGGAATATGAGCACACACAGCGTCATGTGGAATACGTACCTAGCAAATACATCTAAATTTTTTTAAAATACCCAATGAAGCAAATGAATTCCTGGAAACTTTAGATAGTGTACCAGGCAGAATTCATCCAGGTTAACTTGTTAGACTGGATTCTCCAATGCCATGATTCCAATCAAGTAGACATGTAATTTGGCTTTTCTGCTCAACTGCAGTTTCAGGCCGTATCTGTCAATCAGCTCTCTGCACTATTATTTTTGCTTGATACGAAGAATGTTATGTGGTTGTCCACCAAATTAAAAAAATTCCAGCAGCTATTTTACCCCACATCACATCTAGAATTTCATGAGATAACAATGGGTGTTTTTGTTGTTTACTTGGCCTCTGCTCTTGACAAAGCTTGCTCTGTATGTAACTGCTGTATCCTTTAACTTCTCTTGCACAACAAAAGATATATTTCTGCAAACATGAATCAGAGAAGTGTCTGCTACATTTTTCTCTCTCTCTTTCTCTCTCTCTGGCATTTTCCACAAAATTATCTTAACCCTTTACAAACTATAGGGTACAGTTTAGTCAACAATGCACTAGTTTCCATCATTCAAATTCTACATATTAACTGAAAATCATGCTTCCTTCTCAGCAGTGGACTAGCAGATAATCTGGTAACATAAAAATGAAAAACAGCCTCCTGTTTGGTTGCATTCACTCTTAAAACAAGCTCCCTCACACAATCAAATCATGAACTATCACATGGAACCAGAATGATATCAGAATAAGTTAACTTTACTGAGGCAGGCAATACATTCAAAAAATGAACTTGAGGAATATTTGCTTCAGTTCAGCTCCAGTGTCCAACTTACACTTTTGGGGGCACTTTGAACAATTAAGATGGACTATCCTGACTCTGAATTAGTACTGCAAGCCGGACCTCTGAGAAATGACATTTTAAAAATGGTCACAATCAAGTTCTGACAGTTTATTCTTTTGCACCTTTTGCCATACAAAATGAAGAACGGGGATTCTTTTTTCCACATTTACAACACTTTAATCCAAAAGCTGGATAAGCTCACGGGAGACTAAGTTTATCACAAAGACCATATACGGATAGTCCTTACTTACCAATGGTAATTGGGACTGGGAACTCTGTAGCTGAGTGATACAGTCGTAAGATGCATCATAACATGACTGTGCCAACTTAGGATGGCAGTTCTCGCAGTCCCAGTTGCTGTTGTTAGGTGAATCATGTGCAGTTGCCGCATCCTACAGTCACATGATCGCCATTTGTAACCTCCTGCTGGCTTCCTCATTGACTTTGCTTATCAGATGCCAGCAGTGAAGGTCGCAAATGGCAATCACGTGACCACAGGATGCTGAGATGTTGTAATTGCAAGCTGGTTGCTGAGTGCCTCAATCATGATCATGTGACCATGGGGATGCTACAACGGCTGCAACTATGAGGACCCATCACAAGTACCCCTCATTCAGCACCGCCATAACTTCAAATGGTTGCTGTACAACTGGACATTAAATGAGAACTACATGTACAGTAGTACCTCTAGTTACGAACTTAATCCGTTCCGTGACTCTGGTTGCAACTCGAG